TTTTTTTTTTCCTTTCAGGGTTTTTTGGCGATGTGCACAAAGGAGGAAGTGCGGGGGGCAGTTCCTTTGCATGGGCACCATCTCATTCCACGCTGAACAAACAGCCGCGAACCGTTCGCCCCCTTCCGAGGCTCGAGCGCATCACTGCGCATGCAGCAGGATTCGGAATCGTCCGCGGAGGGAGCCCCGCGGGCCTCCAACTACGACCGGCCTCATCTTCCTTTGCCCGGGGGTGCGACCCTCTTTCGTGGGCTCCAATTTTTTTATGTATTCGGTGCGCGTTCACAATTGTTGACCCGCGCACCTCCTCCAAACCCACCAGTTGACAACTGCGGGCCAATTCAGGTGGATTCAATGCGATTGTGCCTAAATTGGCCCGCAGTAGTCAACTTCGGTCATGGGAACCTGATAGCACTTTTGTTTCAACGCACACGTGTTGGAAACGTGTTGGAAAGACGTTGGACCAACGTTGAACAAATGTTGGAAACACGTCGGCCGCGTGTTGATCAAACGGTTGGAAACATAAAACGATGATGCTCCAACGGTTGGCCACAGCATTTGTCGTCGTTCCAATGCTGGTCCGGCGCGGCGACCGAGTTGGAAACTTGATGAAATTTTCCCACATTTTTTCTGTTGAGGGGTTGTCTATATACTTCCTCCCAGCGTTGCGGTGGTGTTTTATCCGGAGGGGAGAGTTTCCTCCATGTTTTTATAAGTGAGGTCCAAAAGGCATCATTTTGCAGATCCTTTCTGGCTGCTCGTCTGTCTGTATCAAGTTCGTCCTCTCGCGCTGGTGATGGTCTAGGAACAGGCCAGTACTGGTCCTCCAACCAGGTCATCGGGTCGGGCCAGCGGGGCCAGCCTACTTATTTGTTGCAGTGCCAATGCTTTCTATGGGGTATGTGGGTCAAAAAGTAGGTGTTTTACCCACTGGAGGGCTAGGGCCATCACCTGGGTGGTAGGGTCTATGATCCCCAGTCCACCTTTGGTTTTTGGTTGAATCACCGCTTGCCACGCCACTCTGCTAATGACGTTTGAACAATCGATATACATACATGATGCTGCCTATACATCTCGATACATTGATTCACAGAGCACACACAGCCTTCAGACATATACATAGCTTGCGAACTACACAACTATCAGACTGGGGGGGTCTAGTAACTGGGTGGGGTCTAGTATCTGCGGTAGGGACATGTATGGGCCACCGGAGTTCCTTTTTTTTTTTTTTGACCAACACACCCTCGCCGGTGTTAGTGCTGCTGATAAAAGCAGACACCTCTAACACCAGGAGGGAGGCTCCATCTATTGGTGGGGAGCATCACCTGCTGGAAAACGGGTCCAGCGTCCCATATACAAAAATTGAGAATGTCCAAGAACAATGAGGATAGTGACTGTGAGGACTGCCAGCATTGATTGCCCTGCTCTTCAGGGGATTGACTGAGCAGCCGTTTCTTTGAGAGTGACGCCAAAGTGCTGGAAACCGGGTCCAGCGTCCCATATCCCCTCTACTCTTCCCTACCTAACCTGCAGCAGGGTCAGGTATTGGGGGAGGACCACCGGGGGCCACCGGTGGGAGTCTCCCTCCATCCCCTAGCCTCTGACATCCACCCACTATCCTCAAGGCGCCCATTGAAGCAACCGGTTGCAATGAATCTTTTTGAGACATACGGAAGAATACTGAAGAATACTGAAGATTTCTGAGGATTGTGTGGGGTGCTGGGGATCGGGCCCAGCTTTGAGACATACAGAAAGAATACTGAGGATTTCTGAGTATTGTGTGCGGTGCTCGGAATCGGGCCCAGCGTCCCATGATTACATCTATACAAAACAGTACCCCTCCACCTACTATCCTCATGGGTTAACCCGACATACCTGTCCATCTTTCCTCTAGCCGGTTTCCTCCATCGGGCCGCCAACGTGGAGTCATCCCACCTGGCGCAGATCCAGAGAGAGGGTGGGGCGGGAATGGATCCGGGAAGTCCTCTGCCGGTCTCAAGGGTACACTGCAGTCGATGGACAACCAGTCCTTGAACTTTAATCGGTAATCCCGTGGCACCGTCCTTTCTCCTCGTCCATCTTCTTTGTCCTCCTCACCCTTGTCGTCCCCTGACCAGCTCAACTCTGCTACCCACCCCTCTCGCTCACCTCCCAGCCATTCTTTAAAAAACTGTCCTATCCTCTCCCCGATGTCCTTTGCACTGTGGAGGGTGTCGAGGGTGAGCTTGGTGGATTTCCATCTGTACTCAAGTTTCATCTGTATGTGTTGTTTAAACTGCTCGATCCTTTCCTCGCTCTCGACACGTACCTGGTCCAAAACCAGGGTACAGCGTTGCCACCATAAGACCCATAAAACCGTTCTTCTGCCCAATTGGAACATGTTCCAGACAAAGTCGTTCCCTTGGAAGGGTGGGTAGTATCCCAAGAGAATGGCCCGCCAATCCCATGGCCACCGCTGTCCTGGAACAATATGCTGCCACACTCTGTCCCACCATCTCCATGTTAGAACCGCTGACGGGCATTGCAGAAAAATATGTTCGATTGTTTCCGCTCTCTTCTTTGTTGGAAAGCCCGACAGGCAGCGTGGGCACCACGGCAGGGCCCGACCTTGCTGTTCCAGGTGCGTATGGTCAATGAGTCAGTCATTAGTTGGTAAGCATCGATGCTGTATCTGCCATTGGAGGGACGTGATCTTTGTGGGTCTGCACTTGGTGTCGCCAAACCAACGAATGGGTGTGAGGAGCTGTCTGTCCACGTTAAGGTGCCTATGCCATCTGTCAATCACGGCGTCCTTCAGGCAGCGTTTGATTCTGATTTTTTTGTACGTTGCTTTTACTGTAAGATCTGCCAACGCTATGGAGCCTGACTGCCCCGTTTTTCGGCGTGCTTCATAGGTCCAGATCCACTCCAGCGGGTCTAGCGGGAGGTCCTGAATGGGTATCTCCGGCATGAACGCCCTCCGGTTCTCCCCTTCCCCTATCGTTCTGATCCTGTATAGGGTCACCTTTGGTACCCATTGTAAGGGATCCCGGCTTCCCACTAGCTGTCCCCCTGCTCCTACACTATACCATTCTATTAGTGCGTCCCCCGTTCGTACTAAGTGGACCATACCCACTCTATCCGTCCATCCGTCCTTGGACACCCAGTCCCCTTCTTGCAACGATTGACCTTTACGCAGGATGAGCCTCCACCCCACCGGAAGGGCTTCCGCGATCTCTTCCACTGTCGAGGCTGTATTGTGGCAGTACCTCAAACGCTCCTTCATCTCCTCCGGGCCCTTCCAGTCATTCTTCTCCTCGTCCCACAGGTCACACACGCGGGTTATCCCGTTCTTCACCCATCCCTTCCATAGGGTATCTGAGCTGCAGTAGATCTGGCTTTGTCCGCTAGTGATCTAACGGTTGCCGAACAAGGGTTGTCTTGCCACTTCATCCCATCTGGTTGGGGGCGGATGAGCCGGTGGTGGAAGTCTCCTCCAGGTTTTTAACAGACGGGGCCAAAAGTCGTCTTTTCGCTCCCCCCCCCCCCTAGGACAACGTGGCACTCTCCAATATCGATCATCTATCCATCGCAGCGGATGGACAGTTGGGGGGGCCTCGGGGGCAAGCCGGGCAATCTGCTGAAGGGCCAAGGGCCGCCATACCAGGGGGTTGGCAAAGATCAACCTCACTATCCATTGCAAACTAAGGACCAAGGACTGGGTAAGGGGGTCTAATATGCCTAGCCCCCCTTTCGCTTTTGGTTGGGTCACCGAGTCCCAAGCGACTCTGCTGATGGCGTGGGGGTTCTCGCTGTCGCCTCTCCAGAGGTAGGCTGTCACTTTCCTCTTCATGGATTTCAGAGACCCCTCGCTTAGAGGCCAGAGAACCGACTTATACCAAAGGGACGCTAGGACCACATTGTTTACGACCGGCACGCGGCCAAAGAGTGACGTGTTCTGGTGATTCCATTGGGAGAGTTTGGCAAGCGCAGCGGCCGAGATCCATTTATCATTCTCCTCGGTCCTCCCTTCTGCGGGCATTTCAACCCCTAAAACTCAGATCGGGGTCTCCTGGGGGACCCATGTGACCCGCTGTCCCTCCGGGGGGCGTCCCCCCTGATGATGGAGCCACCACCCCAGTGTTTTTTGTCCCCAGTTCACAGACATATCAGAGAGGGAGCAGATTCGCTCCATTATCCTCTAAATTTCTTCCATATTCTTCTGCGTAGCATCAACCATGATCGTAAGATCGTCTGCAAACAGGGAACATACTGGAATCGCGTCCTCCGGGATGCCCGCTATGCGGATTCTCGCTAAGTCTTTGCTTTGCTGGAGGTTGGCTGCTAGTGCTTCCATTATGATAATGAAGAAGAAGGGAGCAATGGGGTCACCCTGTCTTACCGAACGCTGTAGCTTTACTTCCGGAGCTAAAGACTCGTTTATTTGCACTCTCGTGGTTGCGTTCTGATGTAAGATGCCTACCCACTCCTAAGGATAGGTCCAAAGTTTAGTCTTGCAAGGCATCTGTCCAAAAATAACCAATCGACATGATCGTAGGCTTTTTCAAAGTCAATGAAGATGAGTGCTGCATTGCTCTTAGATTGTTGTGCCAGGCTAATCATTTCATTGACCAGCAATATACTTTCTTGAATGTTTCTGTTGCGGATGAACCCAGTCTGAGCAGGGTGAATAAGGTCCTCGATCACCTCGATCAATCGATTTGCTAATGCTTTTGACAGCATCTTGTAGACCACTGTCAGGAGCGTGATAGGTCGGTAGTTCCTAATGTTCATTTTGTCCCCCTTTTTATGTAACAGAGTTAGCACCCCCTGACCCGCCAATTCCCCCAGATCCCCTGAATCTCAAACCGCCTTGTAGAACTGCATCAGGTCCCTATTGAGGAAGGGCCACATAGTCTCCCAGAATTCTTTTGGGAAACCATCTAACCCAGGGTTTTTTTCTTCCTCCATTTGCATGAGGGCTGTCCATATTTCATCTTTGGTAATAAGGCGGTCAAGTTTATTCCTCTGTTGGGGGAAGAGGCAGTATTCCATCGGGCGTAAGAACTCGTCCATCTCGATAACTCTTTCACGCTCTAGTTGCGAGGGGACATGGGAGGAAAATAGATCCTTATAAAAGGATCTCGCGATCCTCATGCAGTGGCCTGTTGTTGTGGCTAATTCATTGGTCCCGGGATCAAGGAAGGCCTCAATGGTAGTGCGGTGAACTCTTATCGATGCCATGCTAAAAAATTGTGAATCCATGGTTCCTTTGGTGGTCCATTTCTTGAGTTTGCCTCGGATTCTGATTCCTTGCCATCTGTGTGATGCGAGCTGCAAAAGTTGGTCCTTCAGTCCTTGAATTTCCAGAGTATGGCTACTCGAATTGTCCTGATTGACCAGGTTATGAAGCTGTCTATGGATGTCTATTTCCTGTGAGTGTCGTCTTCCTGCTACTAATTTCGAAAAATCCGTATTTTTTTTGGCTAGGAAAAACAGTCCATTGGTAAACCATCTCACCTCGGAGTCGAAGTCCAGTCTTCGGTTTCGCCAGTACTCCCATACATCCCGAATGTATTTTAGGAAGGACTCATCCTTGAGTATGGTCGTATTAAGCTTATAGTACCCAGGCCCTTGATCCGGGCGTTTCCGAAAGGAAAAGATGGCCCCACATGCGCAGTGATCCAGGCCAGGGTGGGGGCTCTGTGGGAAAATGACAGCACCCTGAAGGGCGTGCTGAATTTCCTCTGATATTAGAATCAGATCTATGCGTGATTTTGAGTGTTTTGTTGGGTTATTTGTGCGAAAACAGGTGAAGGATTTTTCTGTTGGATGCAGATATCGGTATGCATCCACCAATCCCAATGTCCCGCAGAGGTCCGCTATCAGTGTCTCGTCCTCCTCCACGTAGTTTGGGCAGGGGGTTGGGGTGTTCCACCTATCCATCCATCTGTTAGGTGCCGCGTTGACGTCTCCTGCAAAAATAAGCGGTACCCCTTGGGGGACATGGGCTTTGAGGTATGTGAACACACGGCCTTTTTCGGCCGTTGTATTGGGAGCATAAACACAGAAAATGCAAATTAGTTCTAGCTCCAACATCCCGAGGATCGATACCCACCTCCCCTGCTCTTCATCAACCACCCAGTGTACCACCTCTAGACGGGATCCCGGCGGAACCCAAATCGCCACCCCTGCTGATCCCGGTGTTACCTCATGCGCCCTGAAGGCCTGGTGTGGCCAGACGCTTTTGTGGGCCCGGTGGTGCTCAGGCTTGTCCATCAGGTGAGTTTCCTGCACACAAATGATGTCAGGCCATGTCCTTCCTCCCACGCCTCTCAACTGTTCCCATATTGCTTGCTGTTTTTATGGGTTGAAGGATGCTAGGCCATTCACGTTTATGGTCCTCAGATCAAGATCTGCATTTTGGAGGCAGCTCTTCCACTGGGGGTTCCTGCAGTACAGTATATCAATGTCGTTCATTTCGACCTCTTATTTCTTTCCCCGGGATCAGACACCCTCCCATGGGCGGTCGGACCAATTCACTGTGCATAGCAACCCGTACCTGAGAATCCTTGAGAGGCAGGTATGTATATCCTCTTCAACCCAAAAGGAGTTAGCTTTTATCTGCTGCAGAGGGAGATCCATGAGGGCACTGTGGTTGAACCATTTCAGGTTTGACTCCTTGTCATCCTCAAAGAGGACGTACAGATCCGTTTTGGCTATTCTGATCACCCCTTTGAACAGCGGTAGGATTGCTCGGATGCCTACCGGATAATGTCGTCTCAGGAAAGGTTCCGCTTTTTTCCTAAAGTCACTATCCCTCAAGCCAGGAAGGGACCAGATGTTAAAGAAACTCCAGCCTGGCAGTGTCACCCCCCCTTGCACAGGAGAAAGCCCCACTTCCATCCTATCCCCATCCTGCCTCAGCGGGATGACCGCTACCCCATCTTTTTGCTGCACGGGTCTCTCATATTGGCCCCCGGACACCATCTGCCTGAGCTTTTTATATCTTGGCGGGTCGGGAGTGTGACTAGTTTGGGTTGCTGTGTGACGTTTCCCTGGCGGGTCCGGTGGAGGCTGAGGGGGAGGTGGGGGGCGAAATTGAAGAGCTGCAAGGTGCCGAATTCTCTGGAATATTTCCGGCGAGGACATGTGTGGGGGCGGGCCCTCTTGCAGGGCTTTGTGCAGCGTTGGGCTCCTGTCCAGCAAGGCGAAGAGTTGAACGTACGTACAGTCCCAGAACTCTTGGGAGGCCTCTGGGTGCTGAGCTCGGAAGCCCTCTATCAGCCATTCCGCTATTCTTTGTAACTTTTGTTCGATATCCATATCCGTCGGGGGCGCTCCCATATCGCCCTGTTGACTAGCTTCCGTCATTGCCACCTCCGGGGGGGGGGGAAGCGAGGAGGGGTCCTCGATTTCCATGGGTTGGGGACCAAAGGCCTCTTCCAACTGGTCTATCATCACCGTGTCCGTGTGGTCCCCCTGCTCCACGTGGTCCCCTCCTACAGTTCCGTGAATCTCTTAGTCTGCAATTTTCCTCTCCCCCGTCGTTTCCCTTTGCCGCTCCATTCCGTGGCTTCCTTCCCCCCCGTTTGTCAGGCGTGTTTGTGTATCCTCTGCAGTGGCGGGTTGCCTTCGCTGGCTGATTGTGGGTTGCTGCTCCCGGGCCGGGTTGGTCGGGGCGCTGAAATGTGCAGCCGAGATTTTGAACAGACGTTGCATTACCTCCCCCCATTGTACGTGTTYCGGGAGGCCCTGCKCCAGGATTGYTYTGACCTGYCGGCTGTTCCCCAAGGCCCCATTTAGCTGCGTGTGAGCTTGAGCCCAGAAGTCTGTCGGGGCCTCGGTGTACAGTGATTTCAGGCCTGACATAATCCAGTCAGAGATCTGCCTTATTGAAGTACTCGGGCTTTGCACCAGTTCTAGGCTCACAGGATTGTTGTTCCCCTGCACTGAGACCCCTAGCACCCCTTCATATGGGTCCGTGGGTGCGTTGGGTGGGTGTTGAGTATTTTGTCCCTGACCGCTTTTCTCCTGCGTGAGGGTCGTCTGTTCCTTTTCGGGCCTGTCGCCCTTTACCCTCCCCTCCCCCCTCTCCGAACTCCCTTCCTCGCTGTTCAACAAGGCAAATTTGTTGTCATGTTCCACTTGCTCTGTGGTTCCCTTCACTCCCCGACTTTTCTGACCCGTGTGATTCTTTTTTTGAAGCTGCCCAGACCGTACAGGGCCCGGTCTCCCACTCTCAGTTTTGCTTTGCTCATCTTTCTCTCCCGGGGGGGGTTTCTTTTCCAAGAGGTGCCCAGACAGTACTTGCTCATCGGTCTTTTGGATGTCATTAGCCGGGTCTGGGCCTGGTCCCCCTTTCTCAGTTCTGCCTTGCGCATCCCTCTCCCCTGGGGGGAGCCTCTCCGACTTGTTTAAGTGGGATTCCATAGTTTGCGGGGGGACCCATGTTGCCGGGGGTTTTGTCTGCAGGTCAGGCTCCCCTGCCTTGTCCCACACCCATCCCATCGTATTCCCTGCCTCGTCTAGTTTGTGACCCATCCCTCGTGTCCCGGGTCCATTGTGTGCCAGTGGGTGCTCCTGAAGGGGTCTTGTATCAGACGACCCGTGGCTTTGACCTGATTGACAGGGTGGTGCGGACAGGCGGGATCTATGTATAAATGCCCGTAGGCCTGACATTTAAAACACCATGGCCGCAGTTTGTGGGCCGTGTGGATTTTGATATCTTTATCCCCCACCCTGAACGGGATAATATCGTCGATCGAGAAGGGCTGGCCGTCACTCTGTCCCTCCATCCGTCCCTCCGTCCCTCCGTCCCTCTGTCCCTCCGTCCGTCCCTCCGTCCGTCCGTCCGTCCGTCCGTCCGTCCGTCCGTCCGTCCGTCCGTCCGTCCGTCCCTCCGTCCCTCCCTCCGTCCCTCTCTCCGTTTGTCTGTCCCTCCCTCCCTCCATCCGTCCCTCCGTATGTCCGTCCCTCCATCCCTGCACGCCCGATCCTCCTGTGCGTCTCAACTATCGTGATCCACGTCGTCCTCTTCCCCCTTTGCCGTGACTGTGACTTCGTTCGTCCGGACTTCCTTTCTTCCAATCCTTTCACTCTGCCCTTCGTATCTTCGCCACGTGTCGCCGTGCAGCCGCGACCCTTGCCCCACTCTCCCCCCACTCTGCTGCCACCTGATGCTCTTCGTTCCAACTCATTCCATTTCTAACCTTCTCCTTTTCTCCGGGCTTCCTAACGTATGTCCCGTTGCTGCCCCCACGCCCTCAGTCTGTCGGGATTCCCTTTCTCTCGCCCCCGTGCACCACCCCCTATTTCCTGGCCCTTCCTCTCCCCGGGCTCTCTTCACACCTTGATGTCATCGTCGCTACTCGTCTATAGTTTTTCCATGCAGCCGCTGAGGCTTTGACTCGGCATTGACGCCGATTGTCCCCAACTCCTGACCGCTGCCTCCAGTCAATCGCGAGGGTCACTCTGCCTTTCCTCCTCGTCCCCCTCACCTCCGTACCCCCGAACTATCTCCTCTCTTATGAACGGCTATGGTCGTCAGTTGGAGGCCTCATGCAGGTGTCCCGGTGCGTCCGAACGCTGCGAGCCTGTCGCTTTGCCCTTCGTGTCTGCGCCATGTGTCGCCTTGCAGCTGCGACCCTTGCCCCGCTCTCCCCGCTCTCTGCCACCTCCTGATGCTCTTCCTTCCAGATTATTCTATTTCAGACCTGTTCTCCTTTTCTCCGGACTTCCTATCGTATGTCCCGATGCTGCCCCCACGCCCTCAGTCTGTCGGGATTCCTTTTCCCTCGCCCCCCGTGCGCCACCCCCTATTCCCTTGCCATCCCATTCCCCGGGGTCTCTTCTCTCCGTCCTTCGCTAGCACCTTAATTTCCTCGTTGCCACTCGTCTATAGTTTTTCCACGCCGCCGCTGAGGATTTGACCCGGCGTTGACGCCGATTGTTCCCAACTTCTGACCGCCCGCCTCCAGTCAATCGCGAGGGTCAGTCCATCGCACCACAGCCTTACGCCTAGCGATGGTCCTCGCCTTACTTCTGGCTCCCTGCTCTGCCTGTCCATCTTGTCCCCCTCACCTCCGTACCCCCGCACAATCTCCTCTCTCGTGGACGGCTATGGCCGCCAGATGGAGGCCTCATGCAGGTGTCCCGCCGTCTTCCTCACCTGTCGGCAGAAACCCGGACCGCGCTCAAACGCTGCGAACCTGTCGCAGAGTCGGCGCGAGGTGGCCTACTGATGTTCGGGTAGAACTGTCTAGTGGCTATATATATAAGGCTTAGACCCTGGAGTAAGGATAGGGGTATAAGTCGCTCAGGCCAGTCCGAGTTCCGCCTGGCCTTGGGTAAGCTAGGGGAAGGATGGTAAGACTCCTTCAATGGGTGCTACCCTGTCTGAAACCTAGGTCCCAGAGTCTCTTGGGGCCTGTAGTAGATTGTCTGGGCCTGGCATCCGAAGTTCCTGTTCGACAAGGCTCATCCTTCCGCTTCCACCAGGGCTGGGCAACCTGGTGCCTCTCACTGCTAGAATAGGGGGTGCGCTAGGAGTATTGACGTGAGGATGAGATGGGAGGTGGTCTCATATTCCAGGACACCCACGGCGTACTGCTCCAGGTGATCACTGTGCACTCGGTGACTGGCCTCTACAACACCATGCACTTCCTATAAAAAAAAAAAAAAAAAAAAAGAGCACAGTAGCAGGGAGAACAGGGTTGCACACTTGGAAAACATATCTCATAAGTTTTGAACAAACCCAGATCATATACACAGGCTCTACCTTCAAAAAGCTCAGCAGAACCCTGTTTCCACTTCACGCAGCCCAAATTCCGTTGCTACCAAAGCTTCCCAGGAATAGATTGTGGAGCTTTGTCGCCCCCCCCCCCAAAAAAAAAACCTCCCCGAACCCAAAAAAAAAAAAAAAAAAAARTCTGCCTGGTTGAAACGGCATGCCTTTGTAAGGTTCAGGGTTAGACGTGCGGGGATTTTTGTTTTTGTTTTTTTAAGGTCCATGTCGTAGTAGAGGGTGGATGTTAGGCCTTGGGAGGTGCCTTTTGTTGTACTCAACCGGTGAGGAGGTCAGATGGCTTGTGACAACCCCAAGAACAGTCTTCCTCTAGGGGGCATCATGGGTCTTTCTTTTCCAGCGTAGAACGCCTGGTCCTTGTTGCTGCATCTGGACCGAAACTTGCCCCAAATACAGCTATAACAACTGGGCGTTCTATTCGGGTGAGGACGCTGGGGGAATGGATGGAGAACTTTTGGCCTTCGGTTCTGACTAGGTTTGACCCATCGCATGGTGGAGTGCTTGGGGCTGGGGTGTGCCGGGATGGATGGGGCATTGGCAGGTCTATCGAGATGTCCTGGTTGTGAGAAACCGCGGCAAGATTGCCCTCAAGTGCATCGTTAAGGAGCCGAAGGAACTGGTTGGGTTCTTTGAAGTCCACCCTCACCTTGGATACGTCCAGTCAAACGACTCCTTCTCCTTCTATCTGAAACTTCGGCCAAACAAAGACCTTGTACAGCAGTGCCAGTCATACGGCGACCCGCAAAGGAATGCCATTGCTGTGCCCATCCGTGTCCACGTACCAGACCAGGTCCAGCCCATTTGGACCGTGATCAAGGCACGCCTCACGCCCTTTGAAATTGTGTTCAAGCCATCATCTATACACTTTGGTCCTTGTGCTGTCGGCGAGTCGGTTTCAATGGATGTGCAAATCACCAACACATCAGTTCTTCCACAAGGGTATGGATTTCCAAGGCTTCCGGAGCATATCAAGATCCTTCAAGGGAAGCAGTACGGGACCCTGTTGGGGTACGAAACCTCGATCCTGAAGATGGTGTTTTCCCCGAATGCACCTGGGCATTATGTCTATGCACTGGAGTGCATGGGTATGCTTAGTCCGAAGAAACTGTACGAGGTTCCTTGCACAGGGGACGGGGTGGCGGCGCCCTTGCAGTTTTCTCCGAATAACGTCTACATGCCCGCAACCCCTGTAGGCGACTCGTCGACTTCATCTGTCCTCATCAAGAACTTGTCTACATGGCCTCAGTCCTTTGAGGTCTTGCTGCCTGCCCAAGGGGACATTGGAATAAGCCCACTTGTGGGTACCGTACCCCCCAAAAAAGCCATTAGGGTCCAAATTGACTACTACGGGCCAGGGACAAACAAGCAGGACACGGAACTGCAGGAGGGTACGCCTGGGAGTCCGAAACTTACTGATACGGTGGAAAAGGACGAGCTGCTGCAAGTGGGAGCACCTGTGGGTGGCGATTCCGCAGGTCTCTCGTCGTCAGCAATGACGGCGACCACCAGTCAGAAAACTTCCGGCAAGACCCCCCCAAGTGCAAACAGTGGAAGTGTGAGTCAGATGGAGAGCAGCACAAGGCCTTCAAGTCGAGAGGGAAATACGGCTAAGCATGACAAATCACAAACTGCAAAGACAGGCCAAAGGAGCCGATTTGCCCCAGCTCCCGGCAAAGACGGGGCTTCCACAAGCCCTACCGCTCAGGCCACAATGGCGGTGGCTACGCCTGATAAGACCTTCGATCCTGCTCAGTCGATTGTTCAGCAAGGCATCGATGGTGAGCAAAGCGGTTCGCCGTTGCAGGGACTGACTGTGGATCCCACTGTGACAGAATCAAGGGACCCTTCCGATGGCACCAAGGATCCCGATGGAAGTAGTAGTTCTCCCTCAGGTCCAACTGAAGAGAAGAGTCCAAATGCCACCACAGGGGCCCCAAATAAGCAGCCACCGATATTCCAACGGAGGGTGTGGGTAATTGGGTGTGTTATCAAAGCGCGGGTTCCTGAAACAGCAGTCATCGCCACGAGGGATCCCGGGCCCGCGCCACTTAACAAGCTCCAAGGCCCGGAAGGGGACGGTTCTGCTCCTGTGGCTTCTGGAGGTGGCCCTCCACCAGAGACCACCCCGATAGTACCGAAGGGGCATAATCTGATCATACATCTGCAGGTTACTACTGTTGATGTTGATCCTCAGCTGGGACTCGATGGAGTCACACCAAACGATGGACAAGTTAGGCACGAGTCCAATGGCCAGGGATGCGCAAAAATTCAAGTCCTGGAATTTGGTAAGGTAGCTGTGGGCCAGAAGGTCCTCAAGAGATTCGTTGCAAACAATCTAGGGAGTCATACTCTGAGAATCCAGTCGAACTTGCTCGGCCACGACGGCATCTTTGTGATGCTCAATGCATTACGCGACCTGGTGCCGGGCAAAAAGAGTGGCGACATCAGTAAGGAGACTCCTTCAGCCAAGGAACTCGATGGAACCATCGGCCGGTCTCAGCATTCTATCGCAATCGAGTTTGTGCCAGCTGCAACTGCCTCGTAAGTCCCGATGAAGCTCGAGGCGCCCTTGCATTCCTTCTGCTTATCAAAACTGAGGGTAGCCCCTCACATCGTTATATCCAACAGGTTTTGAACTCTTGATCTGTTTATTACCACGGTGATATCTATGCAGCATTCAACCAGTCGTGCCACAACTCTCTCTCTCTCTCTCTCTCGCTCTCTCTCTCTCTCTCTCTCTCTCTCTCTCTCTCTCTCTCTCTCTCTCTC